ACCGCTCGACGCTTCAAACCAGACCGAGTTCAGCTTTGAAAATCTTTTCCTCCAGATTTTATGATTATAAATCTCACTATACAGTGCGTGCTATGTTCGCATACCGACATTTCTTCTACAAACTTGCCTTATCGCTCTTTTCAAATGGTGCCTTTGAAGTGCTCGGACCGTCGTGTGCACGCTTCTCACGTTCTCGTCAAAACCCGCTGACATTTCTTGTATATATCTTAGTAATTTTACTATATTTTGATTTGATTTCTTGTGCCATTTCAAGAGAAAACTTCAGGGAAACATGCACGTCTCAAAAAGTTGCGCTGAAATAACTCAATTCCCCGTAATCACTAATAAACTTTAATGTCCCATGAGAGAGGACATCCGAGTGATATGCTAGAATTACGATGTCCCACGAGAGGGGACAGCGGAGTGCAAAGGGTTAATTCAGAAAGATTTGGTTTCACTGGAACAACATAAATGCAAGCTAAGTGGCAAAAACAGAAGATGGTGTCCACTCGTTTGCGGCACCGTACGAATAGTATTGCGTTGCGGGATAACACGTCCGTAGCACCGCACAAGCGGCGTCACGTCGCAAAATATCTCGTCCGTAACCTTATACGTATAGTAAACCAACTAAAAAAAAATAAAACATAAAAAAAATCTTTGATCGATGTCAATCACGTATTGTCAACAACGGTTATTAATACATTTCGAAATGTATTAATAAACACAGCTTACATAAACACATGGCATGTGCTGATCTATTCATGCCAATGCTCGCAGTAATAGCAAGTTGATTACTATTCCTATTCTGAATTTTTGTTATAACTTCTTAATAAAGCTTAATAAAGACCTATGTTTACATAACTTTTTTTTTTACTTTGTGCCATAGAATACACTAACAAAGTTTGAACATTATAATAAATATATATATATATATATATATATATATATTTATTATAATGTTCAAACTTTGTTAGTGTATTCTATGGCACAAAGTAAAAAAAAAAGTTATGTAAACATAGGTCTTTATTAAGCTTTATTAAGAAGTTATAACAAAAATTNAAATGATATACACGTGTCAATTTTATGCCAGAAGTGTCCGTATAGTTCCAGATTTTTAATTGATTATTAGTGTGGCCAAAATTGCCGAAATTTAATAACCGCTTTTTGTTCCGTAATACAATTTCAGTATCGATTAAAGACTTCGTCAAGGAGAACTGTCATAACTTTGTCATTTATCATACGATTGGCACAAACTTCCGTAAGTTAGACAGACAAATGATTGACCTTTCTAAGAATGCTTACGCTCAACAAATGAGAGCATTAACTGCTCGACTGTGACAGGTCAGGACTTCTAACTGACTTCTGAGGGCGAAATAAGAGAGTACGTAAGCCAGATCATGAGTCGGCAAAAATCTCGTGACGCCCGCACGTTTTAATGTGGGAAGACCACATTGCTCTGTTACGCTGATAGGAGCCACTCTGGGAGTTGAAGTCGTGCATTCGGGCGCAGGTATGAAGGATTATGTGGTCGATATCTCCTCATAATCACAACACGTCTAACTTAGGCGGCAATGGTAAGGCAATGGTAGAGGACTCATTATGGGACTCAGATGACAGGGTGCAGCCAAGCAACTGGGGTGACGTTAAACCTTTAGCATCTTTATACTGCCAATCTTTATTATGCCCTCATTGAGGGGAAGGAGGACACCATGATGGCATAACCGCTATGGACGAAATCTACCAAGCACGTATAACGTTCATTTTCACTGCACTATCACTAAACACTGATCACTTATTCGATAATAGTTAGGGATGAACTTTCCTGGATTAGTATGTGTGGCCCAGAAAAGTGCCAATTTTTTTGTCAGGCGCGTTCAAAATTCGCACTGTTAGCAACACGTGCCGTCTTTGACATGTTTTGTCGTTAAACCGTTCAACGCTTTCTCTCTATCTGGTAAATGAAGTACAATTGTCCTCGTCGACGACTTTCCCAATTGCTAAGGGGAGGAAATTCCCTATCCTTAAAACTGAAGGGAGAATTGTCTCGAAGAAAAAAACTAAGGAAAGTTGTCGCCATCTGAAAAGTCGTCTTCTTTCAAGCGACCAGTCCCTGGATCCGGACTTTGTCACTTTTACGACTAGTCCTTGAGATCCAACCGTCTATGGTACACACTCGGAAAAGCTAGAATTTCCGCGTCCGATAATTTCTTTCTTCCTACGTTGCGAGTCGGCTACAAGATGTAATTTTTCTTATACCGTGCGAACAACAGCAACGCGTTTACTCCAAGGACACTGCAGAGGGTTCAGGAGAACGTTACGAAACCTGTCAACGCTGTGCGTGTTGTTAACGGTGCGAACTTCGAACATGTCTCATAGAAAAATCAGCATTTTCAGGATTACACATATTAAGCCAGGAGAGTTCATCTGGTCATAATGTGTGAAAGTGAACATTAGAATAGTCTGCTCGGAAACACTTTACTGTTCGTCAAGGTCGTGTAAATATCAGCTGTGCGGTTCATCGTACATTGTACGAGATCAATGCACTATCCTCCTGCACATATTTCCGAGCATGAAGTGCGTTTATAACTAAATGGGTGAGTTTCTTATTAATAATATTTTCCCATTTTACAAACAAATAAATTCTTTATGTCTTTTAACACGATTATTTACTATTAAATTAGCTTTGCGAATCGTTAATTGAATTCTTCTCAGACTCGAAATTATTTAAACTAAAATATCATTTAAGATATTTTAATAACCTCATTTTAAACTATTAAATAAAACCTCTATTCTACTTAATAACTCTTAATAACCTCACTTCGACGAGGTTATTTATTATTAATCTTCACTGTACACATCGCATAAAAATTTCATATGATACACATGAGGTTATCTTAAAAAATTAAAACGATTACGGTTAAATTACATTTTGGGTCCGAAAAATTAGTAAATATTCTTCAGACATTCTGAAATAAGGATGAACAGTGTTTTCGTAATATTATCGCTGTTACCTAGTAAGAAAAATTCGGAAGTTCACGCTCCGTGACTTGTTCATTGCTTCGAACGCAGCCCTCCTTCCGTCGCGTCACGCCCCGGAGCGAACGTAGGTTCTGCTCGCTGGCTCGACTACCTTGCAGTTCTCTCTTTACTTTTCGTTAATAACTCGTAATCGAAGCCGCAGATTGCATTTTCGCTAAGGAAAAAGTTACTTCAAATGATCAGGGATCACCGCTTTCCTGGTATTAACATAATTATGGAGACACCCTACGTAATAGCGTGGTAGAATCAGTATTCCTATATGGAACACCAGTCGGATATAGTGAATCAACCACCATCAAGAGTAAAACGAAAATCAACCTCGTGCAAAGGCTGATCGCAAATAGAATAGTTAGGGCTTATCGGATTGTGTCCATCGATACGCAGTGTATCTTGGCTGGGCATATCCCTCTAGTCCTTCTTGCAGATGAA